AAGCTTGTCATAACTTAAATTGGGGGTAGCAGCATAAACTCATGGTGGGAAAAAATCTGCACCTGGCTCCATCCACTAGAGGCACCTCAGCCAGTGCAGAGACCCTGAGTTCCAGTCCACACTCCCCACTGAAAGGAAGCAGGCACCTTGGAGGAGTGGCTGATTGCAGGTCTGGGCACAGGAAACACAGATGAGCATGGAGCATCTAGAGATCAGGGAAGTGCTCAAAGATTGGGAGAACCTTTGAGTCCTCAGTGATTTAAAAAAGAACAAGAGCGGTGTAAATTGATGGTGTCCTCAAAACATGTCCACAACCTAATTCCTAGAACCTGGGGATCTGATTTGGAAAAAGGGTCTTAGCAGGTGTAATGAAGCATCTTGAAACCAAAAGATAACCCTAAATTATCCTGTTGGGCCCTCCATCCCCTGTGTCCTTATAAGGAACAGGGGAGACACACAGGCAAAAGGGGAGGAGCCCTGGGACCAGCACAGAAGAGTGAAGCGCCTGCAGCCTGTGGAGGGTGAGGAAGGAGCCTGCCTGGTACACCTGGACATGGGGCAGCTGCCAGCTGCAGCCCTGCCCAGTCCCATCTCTGCAGAGGGCAGGATGGAGGCTCTGCAGCAGCAATCCCCTGTCAGCCGGGGAGATGACGAGGGCACCACTCAGCCCCACAGCTCTCCCGTGGGGCCTCTGAGATGTCCAGGCAAGATGGCACTGCCCCTCAGGGAAGCTGAGAGATCCACCAGCAAGGGAGGCAGCTGAGGGTCTGGGGCAGTCAGCGGCCCTCCACTCACCTAGGATCCGCTCAAATGGAGCAGATGGCCCAAGGTCCCTCCCAGGAAAAAGGAACCCCCCCAAAGGGAAGAGACCCTCCATGGGAAGAAAAGGGAGCAAAGGACCACCAAGCAGAAAACTCTCAAACAAAAACCACATGCTTTAGTTTTTTAAATTAAGAGGGAAAAAAAAAAAACAAGTCTCGAGCAAAAAATAATAGCAAAAACCAATGTTTCATATCACTGGAAGAGTTCGGTTATAAAGATGACAAAGTTCCCGAAAACTTGAGCAAAGTCTAAAATGACAGACGTGAAGAAACAAAATGGATGAGACCTGACAACCCCACACCTGTGGGAGAATGTTTCAAGGAGGGGGGAAGCCAAAGGGCAGTTCAAGTTTTCAGAACTGCAAAGCAAGGACCCTGGTGGCCAAGGCTTGGAAGTGCCTGGCACATGTCACCAGCATCTGCGGACTGGCAGGTGCCCCTGGCTTCACCCCCGCTGCCGCCCACCCCCCGCCCCAGCACAGAGGCCTCACTCTGGGAGGGGCTCTGCACGTGAGCATCGTGGTCCTGAAGGAGGCCAGTGATCCACTGCAGGGATACTGTTCAGAGTGTGATACTCTGGGCACACGGGCCACGAGAGGCCACCGGAGTGAGGAGTGACCAAGCCCAAGCCGAGCTGTGTGGCAGAAGGATGGCCCCGGGGCAGAAGGAGCACCTAGGACCTCCCAGGAGAAACCAAGTCGCAGAGAGAGAGCAGGGTGCCGGCTGGAGCCTGGACCCAGGAGGGATGGAGACTTGCCTGAGAGGCTTTGAGGGGCCTTTTCTAGAATTCTGCACCACCCGCCTATCACTTAAATGTGAAGACAGAGAAGGCACGGCCAACACCTGCCAATCCTCCTCCCTGACATCAGTGAGGGAAGTCAGGGGACAGGTGATCTCCAGGCCAACAGAGCCGGACAGCTGAGGCCAGGGGCCTCTCCTCGGGGACATCTTGGGGGAGATGACATGGGTGACAAGCGCTGGAGTCCAGTGAGTTAACAGAGCAGAGTCATCAGCTCCAGGAAGAATAAAAGGTGATGGACATACAACCTGGTTCCTGTGGATTACATTTAGTCTGTAATGCCAAATGCTGCACTCGGTCCCTCAGTCGTGTCTGACCCTTTGCGAACCCATGGATGTAGCCTGCCATGCTCCTCTGTCCACAGGATTCTCCAGGCAAGAATACTGGAGTGGGCTGTCATTTCCTCCTCCAACATTTAGTCACATGTGTAAACATGAAATGCTGACCTCCTCAAGATCACACTAAGTCTATGTGGGGGTGAGCATGGGTGGGGGGAAAGTAAAGAGAATAGTCACCTTCTAAAGGGGAAAGTCACGAGGTATACAACAGTATCTACAAACGAAAAACTAGGAAACATAGGATGCTATGGCACAAACACCAAGATCATCAGTTCAGAGAAGAGAAGCACCCGCCCCTGGGCAGGGAGGAGATGCCCAGGGACACCAAGCAACCAGGCAAAAGCAATCTGACTTTTTAAACTGTACTCATGTCAAAAACACTACAGGTAATTCCAGCTGAGTCTCTGCCTATGGATTCCGCTAGCAGGTTGTATGACTCTCAGACAATCAGGCCTCTGAGCTCCTCCAACCAGTGACCAGCGCTGACCTGAGGGCTACAAGGACTGGAGCAGGCAAAGAACCCAGGGCAGCACAAGCTGGCCGTGCTCAGGCCCTGGGCCCCGGACCGAAGAGTTACGTGCCAGGAGGGAGGAGGATGGGCCCGCACGGGCTCAAGAGAGGAAGATGGGAGAGAGCCTGAGAGGACATGGGAGGGCCTTTCCAGAAGGGGCTGTGTGTCATCTGGGAGCAGGGACAGTTTTCTCAAACAAGGAGACAAGATTATTATATTAACAAGGAGAGCCAAGACTAGAAATCACTGCTCTTGGACACTGTCAGGAGTCGCCAACTCACTTTTCCTGTAAAGCATCTTGGAGTTACCACCCCATGCCCATTACTGACACTGCCTGCACACCTATCTTAAATCTCACAGCTAAATTCACCCACACAGTGAGCTGGCACAAGGCCTGCCTGCCCCAGCCCATCAGCCAGGGCAGCCTCATCACCGCTTCATGTTTACGCTCTAACCACACCCCCCCTTCTCTGCATTCCTAGAACACGCCCTGCTCCGGATGCCACAGGGCGTTCCACTCTTTGCGACCCCATGGACTGGAGCCTGCAAGGCTCCTCTGTCCATGGGATTCTCCAGGCAAGAATATTGGAGTGGGTTGCCATAGCCTCCTCCAGGGGATCTTCCTGACCCAGGGATGCAAGCCAAGTCTCCAGCACCGGCAGGCGGGCTCTTTACCACTAGTGCCACCTCGGAAGCCCATTAACTCCCACGCATGCCTCACTTCTCAGCCTAAGCCTCACTTCCGTGGGAAAACATGCTGGTTGCCCCTGTCAGGAGCCCTCATGCATTCCTTCGCTTCCTTCCTACCAGTTTGTAATTTCACCCTCATTTAGGTGAGAATCTAATTCATGGCCAACTCACCATCTAAGCCAGTGGTTCTCAAGTGGGGGGTCCCCAGAACTCACCAACAGCATGTGAGGTGAAACTTAGCTGGGCCACAGTCCAGATCTACTGAATCAGAAGCTTGACATGGGAGGCAACAGCCTCTGTTTAGAAAGCTCTCCAGGTCATTCCGACGCACATAGCAGGTTGAGAACCACTGCCCAGGTGTTCTGCACACCTTGGGGGATCCCTGGGACCCAGCACAGGGACAAAGACAAGGGCTTGGCAAACAAAATTAAGGACGCAGGAGGGTTTCCTGATCTGCAGAATGGTGAATGACATTCCACGACCTCTGACCTGCAGAAGCCTCAGAATCAACATGCAGCCTGCCAGCAGACCTGAGTTCCAGTCCCAGGTCCCCAGCCCTCCTGGGCTCAAATTCTTGGTCTTTGTAGCTTCTCACCTATGTGATCATTTGCCTAATTTCTCTTGGTCTAAACAGGCTCACTTCTAGAATGGGAATAATGATAGGAGCTATTTCCTAGGACTGCTGAGACACTTAAGTGAGACAAGGAAACAGACTCACCACACATGGGGGAACTGGCAGCAAGTTTGAACCCTGTTACTGTAGTCCTAACAGTAATTACACAACTTGAAGCAGTCTTCCCCCTGGGGTCTCCGCTTCCTGATACAAGACTGGCATACACTTCAGAAGCCATCTTCCTCCTCGGCAAACTACTTGCATCTAACAGCACCCAGCTGGGCAGCAGACAGGCCAGGTCTCAATGACTGCGCATCTGCCTAGAGCTCAACTGAAGCCACATCCGGAGGCCCCCTCAACTTGGGAGTCAGACCTCGGTAACTCAACCGGTGAGCACGTGTTTCGTCTCAGCGTGGATCAGCCTCGTGGCTAGGATTCAGACGAGCTCACACTTGGTCCAATTTTGGTACTTGGGGAAATATTAATAGCATCAAGGAAAACACATTCCCATCCAATAAGTTTTTTTTTTTTTTTTAAAGGGACGGTTTCCCCTTCTAAGACACAGGGTGTACCACCTGCCAGCAAAGTGTCCCCTTCTGCTCTCTGTCCCGCAGCCTCTGGGAGTGATGACAGGGGAACCACACAAAATGGAGCGGCGCCGAGACCCGCCCCGCCCCGCCTCCCCGCTGTGCGCCTCGTCTCTGAGTCGACCCGCACCCCCAGAACACAGGCGCGGGGAACCCGTGGCTCATGCGGACACCTGGGCTCGGGGACCCACCTCTTGGCGCCAGTACCCCTGGAGTGGACAACTGGGCGCGGGGAACCCCTGGGCGCCAGGACCCCCAGGTGCAGACACTTGGGGGCAAAGACACCCCCCCCCCAACCCGGGCGTACAGACACTTGGGCGCCAGGACCCCGGGGCGTCAGACTCGTGGGCTCCAGGACCCCTGGGTTCGGCCGCGGGCCGGCGGAGTCAGGCGACACTGGGCTCCCAGCAGCCAAACGCTCAGTAATTGTCCTGGGAGCAGACAGCCGCGATGGGGGCTCTGCCAGCAGACAGCCCTCGCAGCCCCGCGTCCCGCCCAGCGGCGCCGCACGCTCGGAAGCCGTGGACCGCAGCCCGGTGTGCGGCGGGGCCGAGGGCCGAGGGTCCGCGGTTCGGCTGGCGGCCGCGCGCGGAGCGGGAGGGAGCAGGCCGCGGGCGAGAATGAATGGCCGAAGCACTCACAGGCCACGTAGGCGAGCAGCGCGATGCCCAGCAGCAGCTTCATCCTCCTGCGGCTGACGGCGGACGCTAGGCGAAGAAGCGGCTGGCTCAGCATCCCGGGCCGCGCGCTGCGGCCGCCCGACTCCGAGCGCGGCGGCGGGGGCGGCCCGGAGGCCCCGCCCCGCCCCGCGCGCGCTTCCTGCCGGCGGGGTCCGCGCGCATGCTCCGCGTTCGCCCCGCCCCATCCCGCAGGCGCAGTGCGGCGGCCCCAGCGGGCGGCGCGTGCGCGTGCGCGAGCTAAAGCGTGTAAGCCGCGGTAGGCGGTGCGCCTCAGACCTGGGTACCAGCGCACCAGGCGGTCGCCGGGCTGGTTTGTTCTGTATTTAGGCAGGTGTTTGGAGTTCTTTACCCGCTCACTCTGAAAGTTACCTGTTCTCCCGGCTTCTTATATCACTGATGTCCAGATTCCGTGCGTTTCCCCCTCTGATCGTCTAGGACGTCATTCTTTTAAAAATAAGGCGTTTATTATTATTATTTTAAAAAGTACTGCTAGTGATGTAGAGTGAGGATAGACTAGGAAGGAAAGGACCGCGCTGTCTGCCTGCAGCAAAACGGATGCCTCGTTGCAGGAGAGTGAATGCACTAGCCATAACTCTGCGCCGAGAGCACACGGATGCACGCACTGTTCTGGCTCATTTCTTCCATAAGCCGGTATTGTATGCCTGCTCCCAGCGAAGAGCTGTGCCCAGGGACACACAGATGCCGAAGGAGTCCTGGACCCGCGGGGAGCTGGGCCTCTGGCGGGGGAAGACAGGTGCGCGCAGACCTTAGCCAAACCAGGACTGGAGCGACCCGGGCGGAGACCCCAAGTGCGGGGCATGCAGGCTGACATTATAGACCTTGCAGGGCGGCCCGCAGCGCCTCTAACCTCTGTGAACGCCGGGTGCTTTTGCTAAACAGTCGAATGCCCTTCTTCAACTTTGTTATAAACCTCCGAGAAAAATAAGCATCACAATTAGCAATAAATCAATGCAGTAATTGGTTACATCTTTCTAGCTACTCAGCACAAATGCCATGACTCTGTGATTGTAAGACAGCCTTCCCAGTTCCAGGCCTCCCCATTAACCTTGAGAACTGTGGAACAAGAGGAAAATCGTTAAGCCCTTTCCCAGAGGATGATACTCACATCTGATGCAGCCTCCTGTCAGGACGCCCACTGCCCAACACGCTCTCAACCCATTCCAGTATCCAAGAAGGCTGCCAGGTGACACTTCCTTTGGAGACAGACAGAGACCCCCTGGGTGGGCTTCCAGGTGAGCACACCAGCCAAGGACAATTTTCTTTTTGTCCGGGAGTCTTTTTTCCTTGATGACTCCAAAATAATGAATCCATCTGACAAGCAGAAGACCCCAATTCCGTCCCTGAGTGGGGTAGATCCCCGGGAGAAGGAAATGGCAACCCACTCCAGTGTTCTTGCCTGGGAAACCCCATGGACAGAGGAGCCTGGCAGGCTACAGCCATGGGGTCAAAAGAGTACAACACAACTTAGTAGCTAAACAACAACAACAGCAACTTTATTTCCTCATCATTAATATTTTAAGTTTGGGTTAAACCTCTAATTTTTCAAAAGATGTATCTAGAGCATGTAGTGCCCTGAGCTCCTCTGATCCTATGATTTCATGATTTTTATTTTACTTTTTTATTTACCATGGTCACTTTATTCTTCTAATTTTTTATTTTATATTGGAGTATAGTTGACTTACAATGCTGTTTTGGTTTCAGGTGTACAGCCAAGATTTAGCTCTACATATATATCTAGGGCTTCCTGGTGGCTCAGTGGGAAAGAATCCGCTTACAATGCAGGAGATATGGGTTCAATCAGGAGGATCTCCTGGAGGAGGAAATGGCAACCCACTCCAGTATTCTTGCCTGGAAAATCCCATAGACAGAAAAGCCGGGCAGGATACAGTCCATGGGGTCGCAAAGAGTCAGATACAACTAAGTGACTAAACCACCACCAGACATATATCTATTCTTTCTCAGATTCTTTTCCCATTTAGGTTATTACAGAGTATTGAATAGAGTTCCCTGTCCTATGCAGTAGGAATTCCATGGTTTTTAGGTAAAAAGATGAGCAGCAGAGATATGAGAAAAGATTAACATTTGCCCTAAGGCAAAATCAGATAGAAGCTGTAAGTGGATTCCAAACTTTTTGGGTGTAGGTGGTATTTCACTGATATATATTGATCTGTTCAACCAGGCCAGATATTGTGAAACACATGTTACCAATGCACAAAATCCCTAAATCCAGCTTTCCTACCTGAGCCTCCTTTCCACCACCAGACACTGCTGCCAAGGTCTCCTGCCCCAAGGGATGAAGTGTATGGGAACACCATCAACAATTACATGTAGGTTAGCTGCTGCTGTTGGAGAAGGCAATGGCACCCCACTCCAGTACTCTTGCCTGGAAAATCTCATGGGCGGAGGAGCCTGGTAGGCTGCAGTCCATGGGGTCGCTAAGAGTAGGACACGACTGAGCGACTTCACTTTCACTTTTCACTTTCATGCATTGGAGAAGGAAATGGCAACTCACTCCAGTGTTCTTGCCTGGAGAATCCCAGGGACGGGGGAGCCTGGTGGGTTGCCGTCTGTGGAGTCGCACAGAGCTGGACACGACTGAACTGACTTGGCATCAGCCGCTGCTGTCCTTGTGACCCCTCAGGGAGTTGTGGGTGGCCCTGACCCTGATTTTCAGCTCAACCAAAGCCAGAATTTGGGAGTAAGCAGCCGTAAGTGCTTGCCCAGCAGAGATGAGAAGGCCCCAGGGAAGGAGGCGCCACCTTGGGCTCTTCAGGGAAACTGTGGGCTTGGGCAGGTCACTTCCCTGAGCTTCTCTTCCCTCTTCTGACTGCCCACACCCTCTGCCCCAGTGAGTTCTGTGCTCAGGTCCCCTTCCTGCCTCAGCCTTGCTATCAGCTACTCCTTTTTTTCAGTGGATACATCAATGAGAATATTTCAACAGTGACTACTTAGTTACAAAGCAGTGTTCTTGACACTTGGGATGATTAAAAAATGAATCATAACAGGACTCCTGTCCTAGTGTGTTAAAGGCCTAAGAAGAGGGGACTTCCCTGGTGACTCAGTGGTAAAGGATCTGCCTGCCAAGGTGGGAGCATGCATTTGATTCCTTTTGCAGGAAGATTAAACATGCCTCAGAGCAACTCAGCCCATGCACCACAACTCCTGAGCCTACGTACCTAGAGCTGGTGATGCTCAAAATGAGAAGCCTGCGAACTGCAACAATGAGTAACCCCCAGTCACTGCAACCAGAGAAAGCCGGTACAAAACAAGGAAGCACCAATGCAGCCAAAAAAAAAAAAAAAAAACTAAGAAGAGTAGGGCTTCCCTGGTGGCTCAGATGGTAAAGAATCTGTCTGCAATGCAGGAGACCCAGATTTGATCCCTGAGTCAGGAAGAAACCCTGGAGAAGGGAATGGCTACCCACTCTAGTATTTTTGCCTGGGAAATCCATGGACAGAGGAACCTGGCGGGCTACAGCTCATGGGATCACAAAGTCAGACATGACTGAGCAACTAACACTTTTCAAGAAGAGCAGAAAACCTCTGTCTATTCAGTGTCCACCAGGAGCCAGGCAGGGACTGAGATGTGAGACACTTGCACGTGTCACCTCACCTGAGTTCTATTACAGCCCCAAGACGCAGGGTCGCTGATGGGACTGTGCTTAATAAACAGAAAACAGGCTCTGAAAGTTGTCAGTGTCCACACAGCTGGGGTGGGAGGGGGGTGGGGGGATGCTTTTGGGGAGGAGAGCAAAAGCGTGCAGAAGCCACCATACTTCATGGTAGAAAGTGGTCAGGACCAGGACAATGCAGATGGATGGCCAAGGCATTCACAAAAAAGAGACATCACTCTCTGGGAGTGTGGTTTGCCCAGTTAGTTGTCTGAACAGCTTCCCGGCTCCAAAAGCTGAGTGTTCACAATTCTTCCTGTGGGGTGCTCATTCCCATGTGAATGAGCAATTGCTGCAGATCAGGGCTTTTTCTGTTTTTTGTTTTTTGACCAGCACACCTCCCCTTCCAGGTGAGAACAGCAAGAGGGAGGCTGTGCAGAGCCAGGGCTACGTGGGCTGAATTTGAAATCACATGTAAGGTTTTTGCTCACACACATTGGGCAGGGGCGATGGGGAGGGAGAGGACCCAATAGGACATAGTGGAACCTGTATGGCTAGAGGAGCAGGAAAAAAAGGTGCAGATAATGTTGGATAAGAAAGCCTCTAGCAATGTATCCAAGAGTGCAGAAGCAAGGCCTCCAACCCCTGCGCACTTTATCTACTTTTCTTCCTGCTACTTTTCTTACTAAGCCAATGCCTCCCTGATGGCTCTGTGAGTGGTGAAGAACCCGCCTGCCAATGCAGGAGATGCGGGTTCCATCCCTGGGTTGGGAGGATCCCCTGGAGTAGGAAATGGTAACCCACTCCAGTCGGTTTTCCACTTACCTGGGAAATGCCATGAACAAAGGGGCCTGGCAGGCTACAGTCTATGGGGTCGCAGAGTCAGACACAACTGAGCAACTAACACTTTTTTTTCTTTTTATATCCAAAGGGTTGGTTGTTGCAAACAGATACAAAGGTTAAGGTAAAAGGAACAGATCTGATAGGGAGTCAGGTGTATTCTTCCTGTTACAATGTGACAGCTTTTCCCTCTGCACCTCCCTGGTCCACCTGGCTTGTGTGCCCCAGAGCATCTGAGCAGAGGGTTTTACCGGCAATCAGCCAAGATTAGATTGAGAAGTAGATGATGCTGCTGGGACTAGTCATTTTTTAAAGTGCTTAATTCTAAACGTCTGTAGAACTCGAAGGATCTGCTGAAGGACCTATTGAGCTCTTGTTGCTGAGGAGTGGAGGGGAGAAAAAGATGCTGCTTTTGGGGTCTCCTTAAGGCACTCCCTCTGCATCCCTTTGGGAAGCATAAACTGTGATTTGTATATCCGACTGGTAATATCGTCTCTCCGCTAGAGCCAGGTTTCTGATGAGCAAGTAATAAATTCTGGTTGTTAATGTGCGTGCCAGCTGTAGTGTGAATGCCCAGTGAATAC